TTCAGTATCGCTCTTACTGCATCTCTCTTCCTCTGTTCGGTCAATAAATATCAGTCTCGCTGTCTTCCTCTTCCTCTGCACGAGTACTTCAGTATTGCTCTATCACTGCATCTCTCTTCCTCTTTTGAGTAACTGGCTGTTGCTCGCTCTCTCTCTCTCTCTCTCCTTCTGTATGGAGAAGTGATGATCACTCTTGCTCTGCACAGCTCACTCAGTCTCTCTCTCTCCCTCCCCCTCAGCTGGACTGGGTGTTGGAGTATTTTGACAACGCTCACTGCCCCCAGCTCCAAAACAAGCCCAAAATGTTCTTCATACAGGCCTGCCGGGGAGGTAGGTACTCTTGTGGATCTGGTTTTACCTCTCACTAGCAGGACATTCTCTGATACTATACTAAGCCAAGAATTAAGCTAATACTCTAGCTAAGAATTCCTAGGTGTTAAGCGCTGGGCTGACTACAGAAGCCCTTGTGTGCCCTGTCGGGCAGTCAGCTGCTGGAAGGACAGGGCTATCGGCTCCTTCCCCCGTTTACTCGGGGAGCCCCTCGGGCTGCGGTGGCCGGTTTAGGGATGTCACGGTGTGAGATTGTGATGGTACGATTATAGTCTCCGGTAATGTCACGGTTTCACGGTTTAACGTTTTATTTTCCAAGTTATTTATTATGAGACACTATGGAGGGAAAAACGACACAAAGCGTCGCATAATTAAACATTTTATAGTTTTTTTAGTTCATAACGTTCTGCAAATAAAACACGTAAGCCCACTTTATATTAAAAACAAAAACATGACGGGGGAAAAGTAGGCACATTTCAGAATTCACTGTAACTGCCTTGAGAAGCCAAAATAATGCAGTATCTGATGGTGATTAGATGTGTTTGAACCTTTGACAGCCACTTTTTTTCGGCACGTTTTGTGAATTGGGTATCCGTCGTCTTCCACTTCCCCCAGATCATTTTTTAGATTTCCCAAGTGCTCCCACACTGCCGACTTAAGGAACTTTCTTGGTGGGTACTGAGGCGTCGTATCCCTCTGTCATCTTCACAGCACGTCTGCTCTCTGTAGGCTAACTGAGGTGTTGTTGGGCTAGCCAGCTGAGCAGAGCTGAGCCAGGCACCCCACACACACACACACACGCCTGTGTCCGGAAGTTTTCAGGACAACATGGAGCGCGAGGCTTCTAAAATACAATTTCAACCGGAGCCTCTAAAAATTCTCAGGGTTCGGAAACCGGGCCGTTTTTAATCGTGGTGGATAGTGAAACCGGTCAATCTCCCCATCCCTGGGTGGGTGTGGTGGGAATCCCCTGCGGTCTCACCGCGGGCCCCTCTCTCTTTCTCCCAGAGGACACCGACAGCGGCGTCGACCAGTCCGACGGGCCGGAGCGCACCTCCTCCCCGGGCTGCGAGCAGGGAGACGCTGCCAAGGAGGTGGTGAAGGTCAAACTGCCCCAGAGGTCGGACATGATCTGCGGGTTCGCCTCCCTGAAAGGTGAGACGCGGAGCTGGGTGGGGGTGGGGAGGGGCCGGCGTGTGTTCCGCCTCCCCCGGCGTGGACTGACGGTCTCCGCGTGACTCCTGCAGGCACCGCAGCCATGAGGAACACCAGGAGAGGCTCCTGGTTCATCCAGGAGATGAGCAGCGTCTTCAGACAGAGGGCCAGAGACAAGCACCTGGCCGACCTGCTGGTGGAGGTAGGGAGGACCGCTCCTCCGAGTGCAGTGTCCGTGCCCTCCCCGGCCCGGTCAGTGCGCCCGGATTAAGGGCTCCCTCTTTCACCCCCTCTCGCAGGTGAACGCTCGCATCAAGCAGAGAGAAGGCTTCGCCCCAGGGACGCCATTCCACCGCTGTAAGGAGATGTCGGAGTTCACCAGTTCGCTCTGTAAAGACCTCTACCTGTTCCCAGGGTACCACCCCAAACAGTGACACTCGCTCCCCGTGTATCGACCCTAACACTCTATACACACTTGGACACCTCCAGAAACACTGATTCTCACCCGGACTGTGTCCTGGGCAGTGACCAGGACTGCCGCTTGTGCCCTGCTCTTCCGTGAATGTTCTCAGTATGACGTCCATGTTGGGGAAAGTATTTTCGGGGGCTCAGCCGGTGAAGGTGCCTGACTGAACCTTATCCTTAGGGCTGTCCCTCTCCTGCCTCTTGGCACCTCTTGCTGTGTCATTAGCTGTCAGTGTGACTGTGCTGGGGGCGCTGTGGGGCTCTCAGTGTTGTCGGTGAGAGAGATGGCTCACCTAATCAATCAGTCTGTGGCAGCTACTTGTTCTTCTTCTCCGGTGTGGCTCTGTAAAAGCCAGTCCGACTGTAAAAGTGGGAGATGCAGTGCAGTTTGATTTTGTGTTGGGGGTTTTTTAAATTTGAGATTTGCCAGTTATTTATGCCATGCACTCACCCGCTGGGCAGCTGTGTCCGGCAGGCGAGTCTGTGCCCTTCGAAGCAGGGTGCAGGTCTCTAGCTGACCTCTCTGCAAGCCGCTTTGTGCTTGCCAGGCCACCGGAGGCCTCGATCCTCGACACAGAGGATCCTGGTTAGTGACACGTCTGAACCGCGTGAGCTGCCGAGCTCAGCCCCTGCTGTTTGAGCCACTCGGGAACCCCCGCGGTTAGTCTGTTGAACCCCGATCTCAAACCCCGGGCTCAGAAATACCCACTGGGGTGACGGTTGGTACCCTCGAGCATTTTGAAATAGCTCCCGCCGCGCAACCTGTCCTGCACTTAAGCGGTTTTGGAAAATGAGCGATTTCCCCTCACAGTCTTAGCCTTTTGAGTGAAGTGGAAAAAGCTCTTCCAGAGCCTCTCCACAGCAGAACCAGATCCAGAGCCCAGGCTGCAAGGAGGCAGCAGTGCTGACTGCCACCCCACTGTGTGTAACCCGGTGAATGTGACCCTCTGCCTCAGGTCTGCAGCTTGTGACGACTTACAGAGTCCTGCATGCAGAGTTTAGCATGGGAACATGGGGAACTTATCTGGGCAGGCCTGCAACTGGGGTTGCTTCTGAGACTTCCTTAGCACGGGCAGGATTTCTTTTTTTTTTTTAGTACGACACACACCAGTCGTTCCCACACCTGCTCCTGGAGGACCCCTGTGTCATCTGGTTTCAGCTCCAGCTGGGCCGTTCTCATTTTCTTGGTGGTGTGGACTTTTCTCTGCGCTCAGTCCTCGGAAGGCCTTCCATCAGAGACTGGGGACTGTTGTACGGTGTGTCGATTTTGTACATGGATATTGAGACAAGGCGCAGTGACTATTTTTAACATAGTGTAAACTGTCGGTTGGCCAGCTAATAGTCAGTAAGGCCTTGTGGGAGTTATAGTTTTAGCAGACGTAACTACACCCCAAAAGTGTGAACTTGTCAAGGTTACAAAGGGCTGATGGAGTGTTCCACCTTCTGTCACAGTATGTACATACATACAGTATGTATTTTTATGCACACTGAAGGACTTGAGAAATGCAAAGCTTTTTGTTTTCTAATTGTTACTAACCCTGCCTAGAATGCTTATCTTCAGATATGGGCTGCTTCTCCGAAGTTATTCAGTGTGTATACATACAGTACATGTACTGTATATGTAATCTCCCAAAACTGGCATTGTAGGGATTTCTACCACAATGCATTTTACTGGTCATAAAAATCTCTTGTGTTTGTATAGGGATCCCAAAGCGCTTCACATAGAAGATGAGTCCCAATTGCTTCCACCAGGGCAGATATTAAGTGTGCCCTCACTGTACAGCAGTGCAGGTAGAGAATTGCTACACCAGTTGAATTAAGGGACAATTTTTAAGAGGCCAGATTGTATAAACCAAGGACCTCATCTGTAGGATGGTGACCACACTGGGGCATCATCTGGGTAAATTCTCTACCCTAGGCTAGAGCGCCACCTACTGGTCCATCAACACTGCTTATAGCCGCATCTTAGTTGTCCCTGAAGGTCTGGCCAGGCTCAGCCTTGCTTAGCTTCCGAGATCTGATAAAATCAGGCTAGAATGGGACAATGCTGCTGGAAAATTTCCAAGTGTCAGAAGCATCGTATTTCCTCCACCGGTATGACCCTAAACCAAGGTGTGTGGTGCCAACAGATTTGCAGGAACTGAAAACTCATAACATGAGAATTATCCCAGATGAGCTGTTGATGGAGGGCTGTTATTGCAGCTGAAGAGTGAAGTAATCCTGAAATTCGTGGAGGTAGTAGGTGATCTTGTATTAACAGTGACAGCACGCTGGTTCAGTAAGCTAATGATGCACACTTAGCGGAGATCTTCAGGTCTTGTGGATAGTTCTATCTGAAAAGTTGTTCTTTATTAGTATTATCTGAAATATTTGAAGCAAGTGGGTTAGGAGGAATGGTGATGGTTTATTTTTTTTACAAAAACGTTTGTATTGGGAAAAAAACAATCATTTTATAGCATGTCCTATCCAGTAGACTCATTGATTCAAGCTGCAGTGGTCTAACTGTGATCCTGGAGGCCTGGGGTGTCTGGAGGTTTTATAGTGGTCTTTAAAGCAGAAGCACCTGAAGAACAGCCTGAAATTTGTTAATTGGTCCAATTAAGGTAATAAGGAGCAGAGTGAGGTCATTAAGAGATGAGCTGGAATGAAAATCTACAGACGGCCTGTTTCTCCAGGACCACTGTTGGACTGCTCTTATTTAAAGCAATAAAAATGAAAATAGATTTTTACAAAGTTATGCATATCTCTGTACTGTAATTATTAACAGATTTCAAGTTGTTAAATGCTTCTTCACTGCCTCTATTAAACCAATGAGAATAATTAATATCTGTAATTTGTTTCCCTTTCCCTGTCCTGTGTCCTGCTGTACAGTTATACATGTCTCCCCAGTTGTCTGTCTTGTCCTATTGTGTGTGTGCATTACCAAGAGATTCTCTTGAATATTGTATTGGCCACACTGGCTCAGCTTTCTAATTGGCAAATTGTGGAATTCTTGAGTTTCCGTTCTTAACCACTAGTGTCTCCTCAAAGCTGCAGAGGAAGGGAGAGGCAGGGGGAGGACTATTACTGTAACGCAGTGCTGCTCTGAGCCCCATTGTTGACTCTTAATATCATGCTGAGCCATTTTCCCTCCCTGTCCTCTGTATGTGCAGAGAGCGAGAGGAGAAAACTGGCTAACAGCTCAGACTCCCGTCGCATGGTGATGTGATCCACTCCAGGTTTATAGTGTGGTCAATCGGACTCCTAGTACACAACAGACTCATCTACTCCAGGTTCTCTTGTAGGTGCAGGCACCAGGTGCTACAGATCTCAGGCTTATGTGATTTTATGCGAGTCTGAATAGACGAAGACTGAGTTTTAGCACTTTAAAATAGATTTGCTTTTTCCTAGAAGCGCAAGTACATAAGTCCTGAAATGACGATCCTTATTGGTTGCTCAGTGGGAGTTAAATTATTTTCCCTCTGATTTTAAACTTCAGTGGCTTTTGCGAACCCATAGCTGGGTCAGTGTTTGGGGATGGCTATGTTTCGTTGGCAATCTGGGGTCTTTCTGGGGCTGTTGTAGTGTCAGTTCAAACTCTTGACGTCCCCAAGCCCTGAGAGGCAGTTCATTGACACTTTTGGAAAAAACTGATTCCAACAGCCCCATCTTAGATTGAAGGCAGCTGTGTTGTCCCCCTCCATCCCCTTGCACCTCTCGTGCAAAATCTGGTTTTAACTTGCTCTCCAGCTTGAGGGGACTCCTGTGCGGACCATACTCCCTCTGACCATGTACTGCCAAAACCGATCCAATAAAGGATTTTTTTATTTGTGTAATTGGTTTTGGTGTTCTGTTAACTTTTCCAATAATTGAAAAGATGATTTTGTGTTACTGCGTTGGTGAGTGTACCGGTATGAAGGAATTCTATATGAAATTTAAAATAAATCTTTTCTCTAAATACTGAAAAGAAGTGGGGCATTGCTAGTGAAATATGATCTATAGGTTATTGTTCATAAAGGCGTCTCACAGTTATTAGTTGGATAACTAGTAGGGTTTCATCTCTACCCAACTTACCATCTTAAAATGGCTCTGTGAAGATGGAAGAGTCCATTTTGTTGAATTACTTTGCATGGAAAAGAGATGAAATCACTGTTTTCTTTGCTTTAGTGACCTCAACAGTTGGGCAAAGAGCCCTTTACTGACTTACAATTGCAGTTACCAACAGCAGTAGCCCAGTGGGCACAGGGAAGAGGAGCAGGAATGCTGCTCTAAGCCCTAAGCCCTTCCTCCAGGACCCTACTTCTGTGACCTACAGCAGGTATGCGCACTGTTAATAGAACTCGTTTGTTACAGCTCACAATCTAAATTAGGTTAATGTGGCAAATCCCTCTCTCTGTTTTTTCAAAGCTTTTTTTGTACGATAAAAGAAAATGGAAAAACTCTTGTACAAAATACACCGTGGGTTAAATGAATATTCAGGAGTCAAAACACATTAATAAGCTTTATGGACCAAGTAGTAGGTTTATTCCATGCCGAAAAAAAAGAAGAAAACACATTTCGGCCGTGGAGCCTTCTTCAGGTGTGCCACACAGTTGAAGAAGGCTCCACGGCCGAAACGTTGTGTTTTCTTCTTTTTTTCGACATGGAATAAACCTATTACTTGTTCCTTTGCAGCCTACGCATGCTGACGCAGCTCCCTACCTGACTTAATAAGCTTTATGTCAACACTTCACGCTTAGAATACAGCTGCATCTGAAGTAGCCTAAAGAAAGTTCATTTTTAACATAAAACGTTACGAGCTTTAAAACTAAAAAGAGATCATTTTTACCCCCAGTCCTCAGGGTTATCCGAGTGAAGTAGCCGAGGTCAAAATAAGAAGCTTTTTCTTCAGTTCAAGGGGAACTGCCGTCCCA